CCTAGAAATACATTGATGGGACCTTTGGACAGCTTCATGAGCTCTGAACAGGCAACTGAATGGAGAACCCACACGCTCTGAGAGCTGGTGAAAGGAGCCTGCTCAGAGCCTGCTCAGCCTGAGAAACAGACGACAGTGGTCCTGGGGCAGTTTTCTGCTGGGAAATTATTTCCAAGGGTGGTTTGTATTTATGGATGGAGATGCTTCTTTTTTAGAATGTTGGCCAAGGAGAAGCAGGAGCTATGCAAGGAGAAATAGCTAAGAGAATACGGAGTTTGGAGACAGACTGGCCCGAGTTAAAAAATGAAACTCCTCTATTGAATAACTGGATGACTGTGAAAGAATCATGTCAGGACAGTTCAACTTTAGTTTTCTCAACAGTGAAATGTGGCCAATGACATTGCCTTGCAAGATCTTGTGAGGAGGAGTAGAAATTCAATCAATTATTATAGCGGTCATATATCTATCAGGATGGCCTAATGATCAATTCAACACAAATTGGAGGACTTAAAACTGTAACTTTAATAAACTCTAAGTCCTTATTTTGATTCTTCAAGATGAAAGAGTTGGATCATGGCATATATTAAATATAACTCCACCTTGACTGTACTTTGCATTTTTTCACCACCCCTCCTCCTCTTTCAGCCTCTTCTTCCTTATTTTCATGAGGCTTTTATTTATTTATTTATTTATTTATTTTGGTCGGGGAGTGGGAGCAAACACTCATCTTACAGAAAATGTTTTCCAGCTGGGTGCTGAGAGAAGCCTCTGCAGTGAATACAGTAACAAGTACCCAAGCTGCCCTGTACTGTTCACAGTGTATTTCAGTTTTCATAGGGAGATGTCACTGCACAAGATATTGGAATAAGACTGAATACCCGCTAATTCTTGAAGAGACCGTCAGGGAAAGACACAGAGATTCTCCGAGCCCTTCCCTTACTGCATACTGATCTTCATCCACATGTAATCAGTGGGTTTTCATGTGTACAAGTAAGCAATTTGTGTTCCAAGAAGTTTGTGAAAGACATGTGAAAGCTTTGAAAGTTTAAATTCAACTCTGTAATTTTAGTGTGTACATTAGCTGCTGCTGTGGTGTTGAATGAAGGGTGCAGTCACAGGCAAGCAGCTGTGGAAAATCCATTTCTCCTTTATAAACAGATCGTCAACAGTCTGGGGTAGGCAATTTAATTGCAATGGAATGTATTACAGACATTCCCCTGATCATAATAATTATGGGGTTAGAGAAGAATGTTATAGTCTCAAACTACTCCTTGTAAGAAAATGTAGTCTCCCTAGAATCCATAAAATGCTAAAAATACATTTTAAATTTAATTAAAATTATTATTTCTTTCAGCAACATTATCAAAAGAAAAAAATAAACCTGCCTTATTACCAAAACGATTAGAAACTCAATTCATGAAATTAATTCCAGACATCTAATCTCCTTTTCAAGGGGGAAGTTTAATCCTTACTAAATCTTGTTGAAAATTAGAATCAGGAGCAGCTAATTAATAGCTTTCTAACCCATAGTGCCCCGACGGAGAATGCAACTCACAAGAGGGGAGGAAAAGGGGAGAAGACACAGGATGGCAAAGGAAAGATTTCCATTTAAATCTCCATGTAAAGTATTCTTAGTTTAAAACTCCTAACTCTAACAAGAATCTTCAACCTTTTCATTTTAACGTGTGATACTAAGCCCATGGACTTTTGATCTTTGTAAAGCTTCGACCAGCTGCCAGGATAATGTTCACCACACATGTCAATGTAAACACACAGAGCACTAGAACTTTGATAACGGGTGTTATTTGCACAGTGTTGAAGCATGGTCTGGCTGGATCAAGGCTAGTCAATCAGTGCTTCATGAAGACAGCCCTGTAGGTTTCCCCATAGGGAGGAATAGCAGGAAAACCAGTACTTGCTGGGTGTTTCTTGTGGATGGAGGGCTTTGGGGAGAGCATTTCATTTAATTGCTCTGGTAACCCCATGGGGAGTGATTATTACACATCATTCACAAATGGAAAAGATGAAGCACGCAGGCTAAAGTCAGAGTGGGGGTGGCAGAGGCAGGATTCCAATTAGGTGTCTCTGACCTGAAACCTATCCTTTGTAATCTTCTCTGCTGTATCCCAGGAAATTCCCCCCCGCCCCATGGGACACTGCATGACTCACTCTACTTGTGGGTCCCCACTCTCTTTTCTCCCTCAAAATGAGGAGGTGGGAGTTTGGGTTGGAGGTATCCTGGGATCATTTCAGCAGATGAAGGGCAGGCCCCAAGGCTGCTGCTCTGACCGGCCATCCCTCCTGGCCCTCAACCATTGTCCCTGAAAGCCCGCCTCATTACTGATTACCTCCCTTACCCTGCTGCTGTTCTCTTCTTTCCCTCGGTACTTTCTACTGCTCTAAACAATGCTGTTCGTAGGCTGCTTGGCTATTTGTCCCCCAGAATCTAAGCTCTGTAACAGCGGGAGCTTTATCATTGGCACTCCGTTTCTCTAGGCCTGGTGCAAAGCAGATGCTCAGCAGATACATAGTAAATCACTTAGTGTGTGGGAGAATGAATAATTAAACATTTAATAGGACAAAAGCAGATTATCATTATTTGTCTCTTTTTCTTTTGCTATAGACACTTTTGGAAAGTTAAGTCCTATTTTCTGGAGTTCTGTGCTCAGCTTCTGTCTTGGAAATAAGTGGATGCTCCTTAACAAAATCCTGTATTTAATATAAACCGAGGTTCAGCCCTTTGTGTAGTGCCACGATGTGCTTAGATTTTTGCCACTATTTCTCCACGAGGCAGAAGGGCAGGCAGCAACATCTTTACCATCAGGTACCAAGTCCTTTAAAGATTATTTAGGAGTTTTTTCTGTGGTCTCACTGCTTACTATTGAAGAACAATCCTAGATGTAGTGAAGTCATATTCATGTTAATTTACGGATTTCCAGAAGGGAGAAAAATGATTTTTGTCTTATAGGACAGATAATCCCAAAGGTTACAGTTAAGACATTTTCCAGTTGCTTCTCTAGCCCCCAAAGTATTTTAATCTAATGTTTTGATTGCACTGTTTAAACATAGTTTATCAAATGTCATTTCAATTGGCTTTAACATCTTATTGATTTCGTCATTACTTAGAGAATTGGATAAAATCTGCAATACATGTTCAATTTCTATTTGCATGTGAAAGTCACAATTTTACCTTTTGGAAAATTTTACTCTACTACTGCCCCATCCACAAGCTTTAAAAGTATAATGACATTTTTTATGTTCCTTTGCAAAACTTAAGTGAATTGCAGTCATCACCTATGATTTTATCTCCCTCAGCCCCTCATTCCCACTTCCCACTAAGTGGCAAGCAAAAACAATGGAATTAGACAGGTTGGACAAGTTACCTGTGCGTTTTGAACCCACTTTCGTGAACTTAGACAATTTGGAAAGGTTGACTGGCAAGCACACTGCAGACTTGCTTGGGTGACAGGGAGCTGAAGCCTGTAATTTATCAGCCATTTTTAAATGTTGGAGGCCAGAGAAGTCACAAGGGCACACATATAAATATCTGACCAGTGATTTTCTCTTCATTTATGATTTATAAAAATCCAAAACTCATATATATGCATTTAGTTGCATAATTTATTGAAAAAAAAAAGAGGTCCTGGTTTTTGTTGGAGGAAGCCTTGACTTATCAATAATTCACAGTCCTTGAAAAGATAATGATTGTGGACAAGGAGAGGGATTATTTTATCTGCTTAAGGAAACTTTTGATAAAAACTACACAGACTGTGTGTAAAAATAATGAACTGCTATGGGAATGAAGAGAGTGTTTTGCTATTAATCGTATCTGAATACATCTATGACAAAGATCAGAAGCAGCCTGTATTTCTTTACCTGAAGGTCCACTGGACTATTGATATTTTCTTGGATTTGGAACCAAGAAAGGTCTTGAGAACCTGTAACTAACCCTCTAAGCTAATCTCCCATGAAACAGGGCAGGCTAACATTGTCCTTTTAAAGGACTTTAGCATAAATGCACAGTGGCTAAATTGCACTGGGAGAAATGAAATTATTTTGGTAAGATGGATTAGTAATTTTCAGGATGATATCAGAGGGCTGCTAAGTTCTGCACAAAGTATCTTTTGGGGCTGTGATTTGTTACAGAACCATGGGTAGGATGGTCCATCAGTCTGAACCACATTTTCATTTCTGCATACACTTCATTACACTGTGGCAGGAGTCACAAGAAGCTATACCACACAATATGGACAAACATATAGTAGAATGTTTCACTGTTTAGCAATACTATATGAAAAGATGTTTGTTTTTTTTTTAAACAATCAGAAAAGTTCAATTAAAACAGTGGATGTTTAAATCCTAGTGGATAATACACTTCCTGTTGAGAAAAATCAGAAGTGTCATGTGAATTGATGGGTGTGTGTGGGGGGGAAGCTCAGTTTACCCGAAGAAAACTGATCTGTATAACAGTGTCTCCTGATTACTTCCTGTTTTCTGTATTTGCTTATTGTCAGATAGGGTGGGTTTACCTAAAACAAGTATATCTATGCTTCTTCTGTAAGGTAGTTGATTCCAAATACCTAACTCAAGTTTTTTGGTTATTCCCTACAAAATACTAGATAACTCCCAAATCAACAAGGAGGACAAAAACAATGGTGAAAAAATCCTTGCTTCAAACCCTAATTCTTGAAAAATGGAAATGGAAAAGTTAGAGGTTGGCAGTGGGAGCACATGGGTGAATGTTACCTGAGTTATTTTAATATGCTTTTGGCTTTCATTTTAATCATGTAAATAAACCCTTTCTTTTTTGGTCTTTTGGTACCTTCCAAACTGGTAGAAAAATCCAACTCCTATACACTCCTATACAACTCCTATAATTAACTAACTTACAATGGGATGTAGGATTTTTTTGTAATATCAAACCTTTTAAAAATCATTAAGCCATGAGGGAATAGATGACCTCAACATGAAAAGCTTTGTGAATTCCAGAACAAAGAAAAACAACTGTATAAGAAGGAGCTTTGGAAATGAATGTGTGTTTAACGCAAATGCATTTCACTTCAAGTAGAAGGTTGGGTTCAAGGAGCAACCATTAAATGCCAATGCCCATGAAAAGCTCCCAGCCTACAGTAGTCCATTTATAGGCGCCACAAAGAAGAGATGCAAATTCAGTGTTTAAATGTAGCTCAATTCTCAAAGCTATTTACGGTTGACCCTCATTAATGTAATTTTTTAGGACAATCCTGGTAATGAAGAAACAGTGATTATTCTCAGTAGCCACCCAAATTATAATTATAGTACATTTGATTAAATGCTTCTGTGGCGAGATAAACTGCAATTTACACATTTTTGTGTGTTCTTTTTTTAAAAAAGAGGAAGGCTGATGATAAAAGATGATAATGGCTGCTTTGTGGGGTAACATGCCATTAGCTGCTCTGTCACTCATCTTCAAACTGCAGAATGATAGGGTAAGGTAAATGGGGCTTGAGATTTGCTGCTGCAGACCCTGAAAAAGTTTCTAGTGTATAACTTATAAATAAGTGATTCTAGTAGTTCTGCTGGTTTTTCTTGTAAGTCATTTTCCCCTTAAGTCTTTGACAAGAGGTAGATGGGAAAGTGTGCTGTCCTTCCCTAATTAAACTGCAAAGATGGCCTCATTAGCGAGGACATGGAATATGAAGCATGACTTATTTTCTGTTCAATTTCATGTGGCTGAGAAATGATCTTCAAGTTATGGGAGACTGGTTCAGTGTGTATTCATATAAGGCAAGGCAGCCATCTGCAGATCTCTTCACACATGACTTGCACATAAGCATGAGGGGATCAATCCGTTCAAAGTGACATCTGTTGAAGTACCACGTAGAGCCAAGCGCCTTCCTGAACCCTGGAGACAGGACGATGGACTTCATTTATTGCCAAGTACCTGCTCTCACACAGCTTCCAGTCTAATGGCAAACACCTCTGAAGAAGTGAGCCTGACCAGGAAATAAAAGGGAAAATATAAAAAAGTTCAAGACTATACAGATGGAAATTAGAGAAGAAGCAGCAAAAACAGTCATTTTCCCTAGGAGGGCTGATTTTAATGGAGCAGAAGTGTACAGGGGTGTAGTAGTGGATAGCCTGAGCTTTTTCTCCGTGGACACGGTGTGCATATTGGGAAAGGGCACTCCTGGATCATCTTTGGAAAAAATGACACATGATTTAATGATGAAAACAAGTTAGAAAATCAGAACCTCTACTATAACAGAAATTTGCTAAACACTACGAGCCATGGCCCGTACTAAACACTTACATGAGTATTCAATCCTCGTAGTGGCTTCATAATTATTGTTACCCTCATGTCACAGATGGATGCATGGCAGAATGTAGACATTTTGCCTTGTGCTGAATTCAAGCACCTTTCTCATGTGGATGAAGGCTACAGGGGTGGGAGGTCCTGGCTGCTGAGTAGGCAGAGAAGGCAGTTCCAAGAGGGTACCATTTGCAGAAGACCATGACCACACTACCACCCACCTTTCCTATCCCAGGAGCTTCTAACATGAACCTGTGCTTTTTGAAAATCCCTGTTATTGATTTCATGTCGGACTTACACATTTACCAAATTATACACTTCATTTGCTTCTAATTCAATTCCACATACTGGGTAACAGACATCTAACCCACTCTGCTGATCTTAATGCAGATCTTATTCTACCCGTGGTCTATGAATTTCCACAATGGCTACTCTCTCTACTGGCATTTAGAATCATTGTTCTCTACAAAGAAAACCCCAATCCTCTCTGAATTTTTTTTTTTCCCATAAAAATCAGGCCTGGGGGAGAACTTCTTTAGCCTAGCCAATATCTAACATTTGAATCATTTAATTAAAATTAAATAAAAAAAATCAATGCTTCATATTCCATGTATTCCATTATGAGCTCTTCCTAGTAGACTAATCAGTGAACATCCCTAATATATGGTTGTCCAGTTGTCTCTTGAACACCTCTATGGACAGGAAACTCAGTACTTTCCACATGCTAATTTCTGTCCAGGAAATGCATTCATTCAATATTAACTGTATTTGTAGGAAGTGTGGACAGAAAAGTTCTAAGCAAAATACTATGATAATTGCAATCAAGCCTTCGCTTGCAAGGAAGCCCAGACTGGGGTGCTAGGACGCACCCACCAAGATCTAGAAGATGAGACCTAAAGTTCTGTAAGAGCTCAGGAGACAGAGAGGTCAGTTCCAACTGTGATTCCCAAGTAGATTAAGTCAACCAATGCTAATGTCTCATTCTCTGATTAACTAATGGAAAGAGAAAGTAGCAACAAGTGCTAACATCACTTTTTATTATTAGCAAAAATATTGTTAATTTTTTTATTAATTACAATGCATTATGTGACACAGTTTCATAGGCTCTGGGAGAGCAAGCAAATGAGCGAGTGAGACAGAGATTCTATTCACTGGCTTGCAACCCAAATGCCCAAAATATTCAGGTGTGGAACAGACTAAAGCCAGAAGCTTGAAATTCAATTTGGGTTTCCCATGTCATGGCATGGACCCAAGTATAGAGCCACTTGCCACCTCCAGGGTGCAGGATTGGACCCAGGAACTCCAACATTGGATGTGGACATCTTAGGCAGCTTCCTGACACTTGGATCAAATGCAAGCTCTGTTTTTTTCTTTTTGTGTATAATTTGCACATGATAAAATATATCCATTTTAAGTGTAACTTTGAAGCACGTTTTGACAAATGCACACACCTGTTTGGCTAGCATATTGTTTAACATATGTTGACTTTTAACAGATTAAAGCAATCATCAGTTTCTAAGATAAATCCCATCTGGACATAATATATTATCCTTTACTAAGAATTGATTTGCTAATATTTTGTTCAAGATTTTTGTGTTTGTATCGTGAAAGATGCTGATCTGTATTTTTCTTAGTCTGGTTTTAGAATTGGTGTCGTTTTGATCATACAAAATGAGTTGGAAAGGATTTACGTCTTCCTCTGTTTTTTCCCAAAATTTGTATAATAGGGTTATTTATCCTTTAGATGTCTGATAGCATTGGCTAGGGAACCACAGAGGTTGAGTTTTCTGTGAGCAGGAGTGCCTACTTATGAGTTCAACTATTTAAGACAGAGGACTATTTGAGACTTTTTTCCTATTATTTTCTGGAGCCAGTATCACTAACTTACATCTTTTAAAGAGTTTCTAGCACCTAAGTTGTCAAATTTATTGCTATATGTTTGCTTATTCATGATCCCTTAATGTTTTTTAATGATATGTCATGATGTCATGTTTTACAACTGAAATTGGAAATTTATACCTTCTTTTTTGTGATCAGCTAGTAGTTTATCAGTTTTATAGATTCTTTCCCATTCACTCAGATTTAAAATTAATTTATTCCCCCGTTGTTTATTATTTTCTATTACTTGATTTCCAGTCTTTCTGATTTTTTTTCCTTCTTTATTTCTTCTTGTTAGCATTTAATGTGGAAACTAGATAACTATTTTAAAACTTTCATCCTTTTAATACAAAAATTTAAACTATACATTTCCATCTAAGTACTGCTTTAGTTTCAGCTTATACATTGTGATGTGTTTTTATTAGCAAGATGGTTCAAATAATTTCTGATTTCCTTTTCATTTTTTTTGACACCAGTTTATTTTGAAATGTGCTAATTTCTAAATATTTGTGAGTTTTGGTATCTCAATGCCTTGAAAATCTTTACATAATTCTACGTTGGTTAACAAATACTCAGTCATGATTTTGACTCTTTCAGATTTACTGAGATCACTTTTTTGACCCAACACGTGGTTCATCATTATGACTGGGTCTGTACCCTCCAAACGGATATTTATAAAGCTGCCGTTGAACGCAGTCCTCCCTGTCAGTCAGGTTGGTTGATAGGACTTTTTGACTCTCTCATTCTTTAAATTTTTTTCTCCATGTACTTTAAACGTGTAAAACTTGTTGTATCTCTTTTTCTAACCATTTACTTCTTTTTCTTAAATTCTGTCTTTGGTTTGGCACTTAAAGTGCATTTATAAAAATCATATAATTGCATCTTTCTTGTTTTAGATTTTGCTTCTTTATCTCTTTCCTGAGGGATTACTTTATTCATTTATGTTTAATGTTACTAATGTTGTGTTTGAGGTAACATCCCCACCTTGATGCTTGTTTTGTGTTTTTTGGCTCTGACCCTTTCTTCCCTTCATTTTATATATTATTAAAATTCTATATTATTCTCCTTATGGTTTACTAGTGATATTTTAAGCGACGGATCTAGCAATCACTACATTTTCATTCAGTATTTTTATTAGCTACTATGAACTTAATATTTAAAACATTCTATAAGGGTATATTTTTATTTCTTCTCTTTGCCCTTTAAATGGTTGATGTTATACATTTATCTCCTCATATTTATAAACCATGCACATATAATTTTTTCTTTTAAGCAGAAAAAAATCTTATTAGACTTGCCCAATTTATCAATGTACAACCCATTTTTTTCATATCTTAGTTTCCAGCTGATGTCGTTGTATTTTCACTTGATAAGCATCCTTTAAGTTTCTTGTAGTACAGACCTTCTCATAAATAATTCATTTGCTAACTTCAAAAAAACACAATTTGCTTATTTTCCTTGAAAGAATTGAGCAGGTCCAAACCTGGGAGTCAGGAGTTTCTTCCAGGTCTCCTATGTGGCTGCAGGGACGAAGGACCTGGGCCATCCTTGATCTCTTTCCCAGACCTCTAGCAGGGAGCTGGATGAGAAGTGGAATAGCTGGGAGAGGGATTATGCCCATGGGATGCAGGTGCCTCAGGTAGAGGAAGTCTCCTGCTGCAACATGCCCGTATTTTTGCCTAAAACATTTTTAAGTTTGCCGTCTTTTTTGAAGACTCTTTCTTGGCTGACTACAGAGTTCTAGTCTGACAGGTTTTCATGTGAGCACCGTGACAATGTCAGTCACTGTCTTCTACATGACATTATATTTCCTCACACAAAGATAGTGATTATTTTTACTTGTTCCTTTTAATGCACTGTGTTAACTTCTCTCAAAAGCTTTTAAGGTATTTGTTGTTTCTTTCAGCAAGTTGATAATGATTTTTATGTTCTTTATATTATTTGGATTTATTGAGCTTTCTGGATATTGAGTTCATAGTTTTTATTATAGTTGAAAAACTTCTGGTCATTAAATTTCTTAATACATACATTTTTTTTTCTGTTACAATCCTGCTAACTTCTGGGACCCCATTTACACCTGTGTTAGATTGTGTGATGTCCTATAGGTTATTTAAACTCTTCATTTTATTAGTTTTTTTTTTCGCTTTAATTCTGTCTACAGTTTGAATTATTTCTATTACAAATTTTCAAGTTCACTAAGTTCACTCTTCTTAATTTCACATTTGTACATTTTCGGTTGTAGAACTGTAATATACTGAGGCCTGGTGTGGTAGCTTAGTGCTTGAAATCCACGCCTTGCATGTGCCGGCATCCCATATGGGTGCTGGTTCTAATCCCGGCAGCTCCACTTTCCCATCCAGCTCCCTGCTTGTGACCTGGGAAAGCAGTTGAGGACGGCCCAAAGCCTAGGGACCCTGCACCCATGTGGGAGACCTGGAAGAGGCTCTGGGCTCCCAGCTCCAGGGCCTGGTTTCAGATCGGCACAGCTGCAGTCATTGCAGCCACCTGGGGGAGTAAATCATTGGATGGAAGATCTTCCTGTTTCTCCTCTTCTCTGTATATCTGACTTGCAATAAAAATTAATAAGTCTTAAAAAAACACAAAAGAATTGTATTAGGCTCTTAAATTTCTCTTCTTATTATGTTTACTTTGTTTTAATTAAAGTGCTTTATTTTTAAAGGTAATGTGTTTTCTGGTCATCTTTTTCTCAACAGTTTCCTCCTTACTGGCACGTTGTTGTAGAAAACAGTTGTTTCCCATGAAATAGACTCTGATCTCTGCCTCTACATCTTTGTGAGCCCACTG